ATTTGATATGGATGTGAAAACAGCAAAAACACTTATCAAAAGAAGGAAATGAGACCTTTTTGCATCCGTACTTTGTGTGGTTTGAACCAAAGAATCAAGAACACTTTTCCATCCACCAAAATTAAGGGAGAACCAGCATCGGGCTATACGAACCCATTAACATAGAAGGTTGGTATTTTATAAACCCCTCTTGTAAGTGCTATACTGCAACAACATAACCCCAAGGAACCAAAACGTAAATTAAATTTACTTTTGTTTCTATCTCAGGTAACAATATGAATGGCTATGGTTACTCATATGGTGGATGGCTCAAGTAGAAGACTACTGAGATTTAGTAACCCTACTGAAATTTACATGTTCTTTCACCTTTTAAACTTGTCAAGTATTATATTTTGCAAGAATCTGAACTTATCAACAACGATCAAAAACTTACTTCAAAGGTTCAGGTTAAGGCCTTTAAATATCAGTATTCTCAATTTGTGTTCTTAATACTCCATGGCTAGGTGTTAAGAAAAAACAATCCAAAGATAAATATAAAGAACTCACAACCTGTAAACCCGAAGAGCTTACATACGCATTACCATGGCACCTGCAAAATCGAAAAGCCAAAATAGATTCCTCATGAGTATGAATATATGAACAAAACTTAAAGGAAATCCTTCACAATGGCATGTAAACAAACATGAAAACATTAAGAAACTCAAGATATGTGTCTACTAATCATGAATCTATGATAGTTGTACTGCAATTGCAATGGTATGTGGTTGCTTCAGCCTCAAGAAAAAACAAAAAAAAACTGTGAAATCATCGACAAACTTTCTGCTAATTTCAGATACTTAATGCAAAACCTGGAAAGGGAGAATAGGAAGACAGTACTGACGGTAAAGGAAGAAGAGACGCCGGAATTACCTAGGTGTCTCTGAGGAGCATGTCAACCCTCAGTAGCTCACTGCCGCTCCTAACATTCATCGTTTCTCAGAACCTAAGCAAATAAGTTTCCTTTGTTGTTTCCCGACTGATGGAAACGGAGGTGAACGGACGCGATCAAAACCCTATGAACAGAATCGCAACGCCGACTTCTGCATCTCAGATGAACCCTACATTCCAAACGACGGCATATTGAGAGTCTTAGAGTTTGACGTAGACGGGTTGGATTCCTTGACGACAATGTAAGGCCCAAACACAACGAAACCCATATATACTGCAGAACTCAATTATTGGAACGCGACGTTTTGAAAGACCAGGACAGGTGTCGCGCTCACCTTACACGATTTGATGACGTGGCGCGTTATAAGAGGGATAAACTTAACTTTATATATATAGATTACCAAAAAAAATATTCAAGTATTGAGCATCTTTTTAATCCACCTTAACTTTTATGCCTCAACAAAATTGATTAATATGTGTTTTCTTTGAGCATCTCCAATGTATGTTTCTATATTTTCCTCTAAACTATTTTTTTATTTATTATAGAACTGGATTTGATCCATTGTATGGCTCTATAATAGATAGTGGCGGAACCATACATTTTTTGAACTAGAGTCAAAAAAAAAAATTACAGCATAACTTATAAACCACCAAAAAACTATAAATATATCCTACAATCATTCATAGTTAATTTTTCACATTTTCAGATAATTTTTATAATAAAATAAGACTTTCACTTAAAAACTAATCACTAATGAGATTTTGTAATATTATTTCGATGATCTTCATTTCTAAAAATTATCCGTTAATAGATGCAATAGCAACATGCAAAATCCAAAATAATTTCAAAAATCTATAAACCAGAAATGAAAATGATGTCTTTTTTTTGGTTTATATCATCATCTGCAACAAGTCTCTAAAATACTTCAAGTAAACATTTCATTTTCTCATACATTTCATCATATGTCGATGAAGATTTTTTCCAATTCAGAAATTAATCTACTAGTTACTTGATAAATTAGATATAGTCTTTTTTTTGGTTTATATCATCATCTGCAACAAGTCTCTAAAATACTTCAAGTAAACATTTCATTTTCTCATACATTTCATCATATGTCGATGAAGATTTTTTCCAATTCAGAAATTAATCTACTAGTTACTTGATAAATTAGATATAGTCTATTTCTAAATATGAAACTAATTGTAAAAATAGTTGATTCAAAAAATAAACAAAAGACAAAAGTATAACACAAAAATAGTCGATTAAAAATAGTTTATTTCTAAATATGAAATTAAATTGCAATAATCTCTTAAATATTTTATTGAATTTGAATCAATGAATCGTAATCCTTTTTAATAATAAAAGATATATAAGTAAAAGACCAAAGTATAACATAAAAATAAAAAACTACAACCTGAAATTAATCTAAAAATGGTATATGGAGGACAAACTATAGCGGTCGTCAAGAATGGGGCACATGTTGTTTTCCCAAGTTTGCTTATTAGTTTATCTTAATATTTATCCAATATAAATTACTATATAGTTTAAGCCTAATACAGTTTGAGCTTGAAACTAATATTAAACTAAAATTTAAGATTAAATTGTGTTATTAATTTCATAGAGGTTAAAACTAATGCAAGCCTACACTTTGAAAAATAGATATAAATAATTAGTTATATAATTTTGTCTTTAAATTTTAATGTTTTGTAATCATTTTAGTACGTTATATTTTTTAGAGGGGTCAATACATTTTTACCTAAAATAAATATAATAGCATTTCTCTGTATTATCCCCTATATATAGAGGAACTCTATTATAGAGGCATACATCGGATCAAATCTACCTCTATAATAGAGATCTCTATTTTAGAGAAAATTATAGAGATGAAAATAGAAGTGAGTTGGAATTGGTATTAATGCGTGTATGTCTCTTTAGTATCATTTGTTTAAAAAGAAAACGATAATAACACTAGTTTTCAAAGATTAAAATTCTAAAAAAGGACTAATATAATGAGCTTATATACAATTTTTGATCTTGGATCCCTTAGATATGTTTAATGAGGGGGGTTTTGTATAAATATATTTGACTAGGGTTGGTACATAGAGCTATATAACCTGGTTATCGAGCTTTTGAGTCATATTGCATTGGCTGTCACGAGTTTTTGGTGGGTGACAGAGATGATGGTGCCATTCCTAACATGGTCAAAATAGGCTTCATTGACACACTTTGTCGATGCTTGCGGGCATGCCTCCGACTATTGATGTCAATGCTCAAACTTGTCCTAAATCACTTCCCAAAACATCTTTTATATATTAAAAGAGAAATATTGTAATAAATGCGTTCATATTATAATGAAGACATAGCAGTTTCACAGCGATTTGAAAGTGAGTACACTAATGTGTCATGTATATAGAGCTTCTCAGTCAAACTTACATAAATGTGTTCACACAATGTATTTTACGTTTTTTCAATAGAAAACTCACATGCAAAGTTCCACGAATTATACAAAAGTTCT